AAAAAAAAAAAAAAAAAAAAAAGATGCCCGTGAGATAGCATCTATACAACATCATCTATTGCCTGAGCAGCTAGGCCTGAGTTCCCTGTGCCCTTTTGGTGAGAACCAGAAAATACTGACATCGCTCAGCTCCCCCAAAACACTCCACGAATGAGCACTTGGTTCTGAAAATGTCAGGAGAGCCAACCACAAGTCCTGGTCTCCAAGGAATGGCAGGAGGCCGAAGTCCTCTAAGCAATGTGAAAAATTCCCTCATTTCATATCAGATAGGGATGACTAGGACACAGGTTTCCATCTGAGCAAACGACTGTAATGCATAAACACCAACGGTACAGCCAAGTATGGGAAACGTGTAAGATAAATAGGAGGGGAGAGATGGGGTCTCCCTCCCGGCTGCATCACAGACCAGCCCTTAGCACTGGGCTCCTGGAAGGAGACCAGGCCAGCTGCACCAAAGGGGACAGCAGCATGGTAGGGATGTGACCCGAATGCATCTGAGTCAGAGGGTCTGAGTTCTAGTGCCACCTCTGCCACTTAGGTGGATTCCTTACCCATGCCAAATCCCACTGAGCCTCCTATAAAAAACAAGTGCATGATCCCAGGGTTTCCCATCTATCTGTAATCCTCCTCGATTCTGGGCCTGCAAAATCAGCTCATGTGTTTTAAATGTTTTCTGTATGCCAGCTCCCTTACTAAGCATTTTATGTGTCTTCCAAGCAGGCCGGGACTCCAGTGAGCTCAGAGAAGCATCTTGAGGACAAGATTAAAGGGGAAAAGGGTGCCAAAAATTTCAATCATCAAGACAAGTAACATTTTGCAGCGCTTGAAAAAAAAAATCAAAATGGGTCCCACCAAATCTTTCATGAACAAAACTTATTTAAAAATCAACATATTAAATCAAGACAGGATTCAGCTCTATAAGCGTGCACGGCCTCGCCTTCCCTGGCTCCCCTCAGGTCCTGCCCTCCTTTCAGGAATCCCCACGAAGCTCCACAAGGTGGGTACTACCCATTTCCATTTTTGTTACGAGAAGGAGCTAAGGCTCTGAGAGATTCGACAACCCGCGCAAGGTCACCCGGCTAAGGGGGCAGCCTGGAGAGGGTAGGTCCCACCCCGCTAGGCCCGATTCCGGCCAAGGGGGTGTCCCCCGAGGTGGAGAGGGGCCCCGCGGGTACCTCTGGCTTTTGAACTCTTTCATGATCTCCAGGAAGCCGTTGTAGGTGGCGGGGTCGCTGCCAAAGCGGATCTTCACTTGGTCCAGATAGGTGAGGGCGTCTTCAACCTGCAGAGAGGGGAACGGTCCAGGTGGGCCCGGGCCGCAGGAGGAGGGAACGAGGGGCTGGGGTCCCTGGAGGGGAAAGGGTCAGGCTGGACCTTCGGAGGGCCAAGGTGAGAGGTGAGGAGTGAGAGGTCCAGGGCCGGGCAGAGGGGAGGCTGAGGCGGGGCCGGGGCCAGGGCCGGGCGGGGCCGGGGCCAGGGCCGGGCGGGGCCTGGGTGAGGGGCGCCTGCCCGCGGAGTCCAGAAGATGAGGTCCCCGAGGGAGGGCGGGGACGCCACTCACGTGCACCGGCAGCTTCTCGTGGCCTGCGGAGCCCGAGCGACCCCAGCGGGCGCCGCTCAGCCCCCGGCCCGCGGGGCCGCCACCGCTGCCGCCGCCAGCGTGCGCCATGTTCGAAGTCCGAGCTGCACCCCGCCCCGCCCCCGCCCGAGGGTCTCTGGCGCATGCGCAGCCTCCGCCTTTGGAGGCGGGGCTTGATGACGTTGAGGGGCGGTGCTCTTTGAGGGTCTCCTCTGAGGATCTTCTCCTTGAAATTGCTATCATGCATAATTAACGATTTATATAGCATGGTAGGCGAACCAAGACCCGCCGCCTGCCTGGTCTGGCCCTGCAAGCTCAGAATGATTTTTACATGTTTACATAGCTGGGGGAAAAATCCAAAGGAGAAGTCTATGACCAGTGAAAAAGTTTGTGAAATTCACATTTGAAGGTCCCTGAATAAAGTTTTATTGGCACACAGACACGCCCGCCGGTTTACCTAGGATCTCAGCCTGCTTTTGCACAACAGAGTAGCTAGTTGCTAAAGATCCTACAGATCTGCAGAACCTGATGTATTTACAATCTGGCCTTTTATGGAAAACGTCTGTGGGCCCCTGCTCTATAGAGCTCATGGGACAATGAAGTATGAGCACCCAGCGCCCTAATACAGGGCTTTGCGTGGTGAATTTTTGCTAAACGGCCTTTGAGTTAGTCCTACTCCTCCATTTTCACTTCCCTTTCCTTGGTCCCATCACTTCCCAGCTGGACCAGTTTAGAAGCCTCCTAACCCTGGTACTTTCTCAGCCCTGGTACTATCAAGAACTCCAGGCTGGGGGTGGTGGCTCAGGCCTGTAATCCCAGCACTTTGGGAGACAAAGACAGGAGAATTGCTTGAGGTTAGGAGTTCAAGACCGCCTGGGCAGCAGAACAAGATCCACGTCTCTACTAAAAAAATCGAAAGTGAATAAATTAGCATGGCGTGGTGGTGCACACCTGTTGTCCCAGCTACTTGGGAGGCTGAGGCAGAAAGATTGCTTGAGCCCAAGAGTTCAAGGCTGCAGTGAGCCATGAACTTGCCCCTGCACTCCAGCCTGGGAAGCATAGCAGTGTTTTTTGTTTGTTTCTTTGTTTGTTTTAGGGCATCTCGCCTCAAAAAAAAAAAAAAAGAAAAAAAGAAATTGTATAAAAACAAAGGCCAGGTGCAGTGGCTCACGCCTATAATCCCAGCATTCTGGGAGGCCAAGGTGGGCAGATCACGAAGTAAAAAGATTGAAACCATCCTGGCCAACATGGTGAAACTGTGACTCTACTAAAAATACAAAAACACCGTGTGTGGTGGCGCGTGCCTGTAGCCCCAGCTACTCAGGAAGCTGAGGCAGGAGAATTGCTTGGACTCAGGAGGTGGAGTTTGCAGTTAGCAGAGATTGCACCAATGCGCTCCAGCCTGGTGACAGAGACTCTGTCTCAAAAAAAAGAAAGAAAGAAAAAAGTCGGCTCATTCCACCACTGCTTCCAAACCTCCAAGGTCTTCCTATTTCTTTCGTGTGTGTGTGTGTGTGTGTGTGTGTGTGTGTGTGTTGCCCAGGCTGGTCTTGAGTTCAGGCAATCCGTCTGCCTCGGCCTCCCAAAGTGCTGGGATTACAGGCGTGAGCCACCTCGAAAATCTTGCAGGAAAAGATTTCTAAAAACCAATTCTGACAGCCTGCAGTGTAAGTGGTTATGAAGCAGGAGCAGCGTGGAACAAATCTCTCACGCCAAACTGAGGAAGGAAGTGGCTTTTTCATTCGGCCAGTAGTTTCGAGGGGCAACAGCCTCACTCCCCGAGCTCCCCAAGCTGCAGCTTCTCTCCCCTTTTATAGGCTTACACTGCTAAAGGGGAAACTGAGGCGGAACTATGTCTTTGCCCATTTGCTGGATGTCTGACCTTACAATCTTTTGGCTTCATTGATTTGCTCATTCATATGCAGCGTGAGTGGGGAAAAGAGACAAAAGTAACAAGCCATTTGTTGGCAGAGGTGTTTCCAGGAGGGAGCCTGGTCCGTGGAGATGTGGGGGCGAGAACCAGTGCTGGGCTCTAGCCGGCAGGGATAACATTCATTTGCAGGTCTTTCAAGGTTAACAGCAGAGACGCTGGGAACTAAAAAGGGAGTCATTTCCCCAGCTCTTTGGTATTTTATTTCATTTTTTTTTTCCTTCTTCACCCTCCTTCCCATCTGGAAGGGAGGGAGGGAGGAGGTGAAATTGAAGGAGGCAAGGGGGTCTCCCCTCTCACTTAGATTTCATCTCATTAGAGATAGGAAGACCTATCTGTAGTGAGATAAGCACCTACATTGCAGACCATCAGAATCTGTCCTTAGGAACCTTTTCCTGAAGGATTTTCCACCCAAGCAAACTGCCTCTGTGCAGAACCTCACACCATTGCCTGACCGACTTGCCTGCTTCCTGGCCCAAAGCATGGACTCTCGCCATTTCCAATGCAGAAGTACTGTCGTGCCTCTTTGTTATCAAGAAAACACCTACGCATCCTTCTAAACCCAACCCAAATATCACGTTCCCTCAGGAAGCTTTCCCAGTCCCTTTCTGTGTCCTCCCACAGTCCCTTATATGTCATGTTTGTTTTGAGGACCATCTCTAACGCAAATCCCTGACTCAGCCACTCAGTCGGGATTTATCAAATAAATGGACATTCACTCAATGACCCAGCGCATTCACTTGTTATCAGTGAAAAGGAGCAGGAAAGTTGGGAGTAAATTGGCACTGAATGCGTCGTTTACCAGGCACTGTGCTAAGTGTTAGGAATAGAATGGTAAAAAAGAACAGAAATTCGGCTGTTAAGAGCTTTCAGTCTTTCAGGATAGACAGGGATCTAATAATCACACAAATGTAATGTTTCGCATGTAAGAAATACTTCAAAGAAAAGGTATACATGTAACAGCTCCTAAATTTCTATTGCTATGGCTGTGTTAACAAATCAGCCTTTGACAATCTCAGTACTTTGGGAAGCCAAGGTGGGGGGAATCCCTTGAGGCCAGGAGTTCGAGACCAGCCTAGGCAACAAAGCAAGATCCCATCTCTACAAAAACATTTAGAAGAAAGAAAAATGGAGCGAAAAAAATTAAAACATTGTAAGGTCTGAGCTGTCCATAAAAGAAAAAACAAGCAGCCCAGAACTTAGAAGCTTCAAATGACAACAACATTCACAGGCCAAGCAGCTCACAGCTATATCCCAGCACTTTGAGAGGGAGAGGTGGATCAAATGAGGCCAGGAGTTCAAGAACAGCCTGGACAAGATGGTGAAACCCCATCTCTACTAAAAATACAAAAATTAGCCAAGTGTGGTGGCACACACCTGGAATCCCGGCTACTCAGGTGGCTGAGACATGAGGATGACTTGAACCCAGGAGGCAGAGGTTGCAATGAACTGAGATTGTGCCACTGCACTCCAGTCTGGGGAACAGAGAGACCTTGTCTCAAAAAAAAAAAAAAAAAAAAAAGACGTTCATTTTACTCTTAATCTGCATTTTGGGCAGGCTTGGGAAGAATAACTCAACCTTGGCATCAGCAGGGGTGGCTCAAAGTCTGGGGGCTGGAATCATCTGAATGTTTGCTCACACATATATGTGTCAGTTGCTACAGGCTGAGACCTTCACTGGGGCTGTTGCTTGGAACACCTACATGTGGTCTCCATGAAACTTGAGCTTCTTCACAACAAACGTTCTAAGAACAAGTGAGCGGGCCGGGCGCAGCGGTTCATCCTGAGGCGGGTGGATCACCTGAGGTTGGGAGTTCGAGACCGACCTGACCAACATGCAGAAATCTCATCTCTACTAAAAATATAAAATTAGCCAGGCGTGGTGGCGCATGCCTGCAATCCCAGCTACTCTGGAGGCTGAGGCAAGAGAATCGCTTGAACCCGGGAAGCGGAGATTGCGGTGAGCCAGATCATGCCACTGCACTCCAGCCTAGGCAAAAAGAGCAAAAAACTCTGTCTCAAAAAAAAAAAAAAAAAAAAAAAAATTGGAATCAAAAAAAAAAAAAAAAAAAAAAAAAAGACAAGTTTCCCAGGCCACAGAGAGGGAGGAGGAAAAGAAAGAGAGTACAAGATAATCCCGGAGCAGCCAGAGGGGCGAACACGCAGCACCTTCCACGCTGAGTTCAAGCTTTAATGCTGGTGGAAACTGCCCAAGGGCTTTGAGCAGAGGCGCTGCAAGTTCAGGTTTGCATTTGAAAGTGATCACTCTGGCTGTTCTGCAGGAGAGTGATTGGAGAGGAGCCAGGGAGACTGTTTCATCATCTAGGCAAAGGACGACGGCGGCTTAGACCAGGATGGGAGCAGTGGAAGTAGAGAGAGGTGAATGGAAGGGAGTGGTATTTAGAAAGTAAAGATTCATGGCTCCCAGCCAGGAAAGGGATTCTGCTTCGTTTCAGTGCGTTCCTGTATGAAGAACAGCAAAGGCAGACTGAACACTTTGTGGCCCCCAGATGTCTGGACAGTCCGTTTCTTACCAAAGCCTCCCAGTGTTACAGGAAATGGATCCCGATCCAGACCCCCCAGAGAGGGTTTATGGATTTCGCGAAAGAAAAAATTCAGGGCGAGTCTCTTAAGTGAAAGCAAGTTTACAAGGAAAGTAAACGAATAAAGAATGGTGACTTCATAGAGCAGCCCCGAGGGCTGTGGTGGCCCTTTTTTTTTTTTTTTAGACAAAGTCTCCCTCTGTCGCCCAGGCTGGAGTACAATTTCAGCTCACTGCAACCTCCACCTCCTGGGTTCAAACAAGCCTCAGCCTCCCGAGTAGCTGGGACTATAGGTGCCCACTACCAAGCCTGGCTAACTTTTTTTTTTTGTATTTTTAGTAGAGATGGGGTTCCACTGTGTTAGCCAGGATGGTCTCGATCTCCTGATCTCGTGATCCACCATCTCGGCCTCCTAAAGTGCTGGGATTACAGGTGTGAGCCACCGCGCCCAGCCTGGTTGTCCATTTTTATGGTTATTTCTTGATGATATGCTAAACAAGGGGTGGATTACTCATGCCTCCCCTTTTTAGACCAAGTAGGGGAACTTCCTGACGTTGCCATGGCATCTGTAAACTGTCGTGGCGCTGGTGAGTGTAGCAGTGAGGACCACCACAGGTCACTCCCGTGGCCA